TGAGCTGGACGACTTACTTCTAAGTCGTCCAGCTGGACGACTTACTTCTAAGTCTTCCAGCATTGTATGTTAAAAAAAAAAAAAATCTGGACGACTTATAAATAAGTTGTCTAGGAAAAACAGACTAATTTTGCATTTGACCGAATTGTGTCAGATATTTGACTTTTCCTGGACGACTTACTAGTAAGTCGTCTCCGGGAAAGTTAAAATTTCAATATTTTATTAAATCTAGACGACTTACGAATAAGTCGTCTTAGGTTAGTTTTGTAATTGAAAAAAAAACTTTCATTTTAATTTTTTCCAGAAGACTTAATTTAAAGTCGTCCAGTCAGACGACTTATTTTAAAGTCGTCCAGTCAGATGACTTATTCTAAAGTCGTCTGAGATAAGTAAAGTCGTCCAGATTTTTTTTCTGGTCAAACTTTGCTTATCTCGGACGACTTTAGAATAAGTCGTCTGACTGGACGACTTTAAATTAAGTCTTCTAGAAAAAGTTAAAATTAAAGTTTTATTTTTCAATTACAAAACTAACTTATGACGACTTATCCGTAAGTCGTCTAGATTTAATAAAATATTGAAATTTTAACTTTCTCGGAGACGACTTACTAGTAAGTCGTCCAAGAAAAGTCAAATATCTGACACAATTCGGTCAAATGCAAAACTAGCCCGTTTTTCCTAGACGACTTACTTATAAGTCATCTAGATTTTTTTTTTTAACATACAAAGCTGGACGACTTAGAAGTAAGTCGTCTCATTTAAATTTCAATTGCAAAAATGACTTGTCTGGAAGACTTACAGTTAAGTCGTCTGGACGACTTACAGTTAAGTCGTCTGGACGACTTACGGTTAAGTCGTCTGGACGACTTACGGTTAAGTCGTCTGGACGACTTACGGTTAAGTCGTCTGGACGACTTACTTGTATGTTGTCTGCGTCAATGACTAATAATTAAGTCATCTGGAAAGTCTTCCAGCTAGATGAATTTCCAGACGACTTAATTATTAGTCTTCTACTAAGTTGTCCAGGCTTTATGAGTATGTATTAAGAATTTGTGTTAGTCTTCTTAGATGACTAATAATTAAGTCATCTGGAAATTCTTCCAGCTAGATGACTTTCCAGAAGACTTAATTATAAGTCTTCTACTAAGTCGTCCAGGCTTTATGAGTATGTATTAAGAATTGGTGTTAGTCTTCTCAGATGACTAATAATTAAGTCATGTGGAAAGTCTTCTAGCTAGATGTTTAATCTTCTTTGAATTTTACTAAGTTTTCTTGGTTGAATAGAGTGATAAAAATATTTGATCGAATCCCGTAATGTTTGATCTTCTGTGAATTTTACTAAATTTTCTTGGTTGAATTAAGTGAAAAATATTTTTTTTTGAATTACTTGTATTTTTAAAAGTGTTAAATAACTTCATGATATGTAAATCTCATATTTTCAAAATATTTTTTCTCCCTTAATTTTACTAAATTTGACTAAGTTTTTCAACATAACCTTGTAAAACATGTAATATGCTTTAACACCAATGATGATTTGTTGGAAGAAAGGTTAAAATGCTTCTTAAAATGTTGTATCAATACGAGGCTACCAACATTCTTGTTTATTAAGATAAGCAGAAGGCCATTGTGATTTATTATTGCATATGGGAGATCCAAAAGATGAAAAAAGCTACTCAAGTCTATTATTTCATTGATTTGTCCATGTGTAAAAACAATAGCACATATATTACATCTTGGGAACTGATTTTACAAAAATATAATAGATCATTCTTTACAAAGACAAGCTTGGACTCCACTTGATATGAAAGAAGACAGCGTCAGAAAACTTTCAGAAAGTCCAGAAAACTTCCAGACAACTTCTAGACGACTTACAGGATTTCCAAATGACTTACAAGAATTCCAGATGACTTACAGGAAGTCCAGACGACTTCCAGGTAAGTCGTCCTAGAAGTCTTTCGAGAAGACTTACAAGTAAGTCGTCCAGAAGACTTACAAGTAAGTCGTCCAGAAGACTTACAAGTAAGTCGTCCAGAAAACTTACAAGTAAGTCGTCCAGAAGACTTACAAGTAAGTCGCCCAGAAGACTTACAAGTAAGTCGTCCAGAAGACTTACAAGTAAGTCGTCCAGAAGACTTAAAAGTAAGTCGTCCAGAAGACTTAAAAGTAAATCGTCCAGAAGACTTACAAGTAAGTCGTCCAGAAGACTTACAAGTAAGTCGTCCAGAAGACTTACAAGTAAGTCGTCCAGAAGACTTACAAGTAAGTCATCCAGAAGACTTACAAGTAAGTCGTCCAGAAGACTTCTAGATCTGAAAAACCTGCATATCAAGCCCAGATCTGAAAAACATGCATATCAAGCCTAGATCTGAAAAACCTGCATATCAAAAACATTCAAATGGCTTAAAACACACAGAAAATAAGTGAAAACTTAGATATATATAATTTTATAGAACACATAACATACATATCCAAATGAAAATAAGAACCATCTGATTAAAAACCTGCAAAAAAAAAGATAGATTAGTGAGAAAAAATGAGACATAACTGAAAAATTCATATAAAGTTAATAGATCTATCTTTAAATGAGTGGAATATGAGAATCATGTGATGAAAAACCTACAAAACAAGATAAGTTAATGAGAAAGACATGAGACAAAAACAATAAATTGATATAAAATTTGGTGTTTATAAGTTCAAAGTGATTATAGAGAGGTTGGATAGTTCTAGAAAGTTGAACATTACATTTTTTCTTGCACACATTTGAGAGGAGGAGAGAGAATGTGTAAATTTTTCTTTATATAAGGAAACAAAAAAAAATAGGTTAAATATTTTTGATTTAGAAGACTGAAATGTAAGTTGTCTAGGAGACTTTAATAATTTTAGCGGGAAACTAAAATATTTCTAGCGGGAAACTAAAATAGAAGACTTTCGAGAAGACTTACAAGTAAGTCGTCCAGAAGACTTACAAGTAAGTCGTCCAGAAGACTTACAAGTAAGTCGTCCAGAAGACTTACAAGTAAGTCGTCCAGAAGACTTAGAAGTAAGTCGTCCAGAAGACTTATAACTAAGTCGTTCCAGAAGACTTATAACTAAGTCGTTCCAGAAGACTTACAAGTAAGTCGTCCAGAAGACTAACAAGTAAGTTGTCTGGTTTAAATTATTCAAGCGGGAAAATAATTTTTTTAAAAATTTTAGGCGGGAATATTAGTACGACTTACTTGTAAGTCGTCTGTGTAAAATTATTTACCAGACGACTGATATTTCAGTTGTCCAGACCCTAAACCCTAAACCCTAAACTAAATTGACTAAATTAACTAACTAACCACGTTATAAAATCAAATTATACTTAAATAGTGTTAACTATACACGGAAATAAACACACTTAGGTAAATTTTTAATTTTTCAAAAAAAACATTTATGCTTTCGAAAATCTAACCCTAAGAAACACATACAATACTATAACATATATTGGTGAAACCTAAACTAAAGAATATCATGACTCACTACTTTCACTCATCTATGCTGAAAACAACTGACTTTTGTTATATCTTAATTTATATCTCTTAAGACATATGTTAATTACATAATCCCAATTTTTCATTTATCAAGATATTTATTACACAATTTTTAAATTATTTTTAAGAAAAACTGTCCTAGACGACTTTAAGTTAAGTCGTCTGGACGACTTTAAGTTAAGTCGTCTGGACAACTTTAAGTTAAGTCGTCTGGACGACTTAGTTGAAAGTCGTCTGGGCAGACGACTTACGAGGGCTAGAAACATAAAAAAAAACCCTTTTTTTGTTTGTTCATAAGGGGTTGGTTGTAATTTCAATAGCCTTTTAAGTTACTTTTGCATTTGATTTAAGTTTGGGTTTACTTTTTTTTTTTTTAACGCTGTATTGTATTATTAAGCCATTTAGGCAAATAGTTTTACACAATGAGAATTGGCAAAAACAATATAGAAAAGGGATACACCAGTAGGGATCCAAAGTAAACTAACACATCTATTAGTGTATGAATGACTAAAAATTTCCATGTGAAAACTTCATATTTGCTTCTGAAATAGTTGAATCTCCTAGGAGATAATCTTCATATTAATTCAGAAACACCATGCTTCAAACTTAGTTGAGAACGATTGTTACTCTCTTTTTATTACTCCAGTAGGAGCCAACGAGAGAAGACAACTCTTTATATTGCTCTATTGATAATAACAAAGCCAAAGAGATTACCGTTCCATAGAATTTCATGCTGTCTTTCGAAGTAACCATAGTTTCCAGCAAAAAAACCATCACCATCAAGTGAAGAACCATCAACGATTGAAGCCGGTAAGACCCGTCGCCACCATCCGTACTAGATCTGTCAATTACCTTTTCTAAACGATTCAATTGAACCGAAGTTTTTTCCATTCCAAATCCATTGGAAAAACCATACAGGAGAACAATCCAAAATTTTGCCAGATTCAAAATAAATTGGCAATCAAACAAACTAGAAGACCATAACAAATCAAAGAAATAGAAATAAGAAAAATTAAACAAGCCGATGTCGGAGCTATAGAAGCCTCCGACCATCGGCTTGAAACTAAAAAATCTCTCTTTTTTTTTTTCTCTTGACGGCTCAGTTTGGGTTTAATTTTGCATTTCAAATCAAGTTTTGAGTCATATTTGGCAATTTTCCCTTATTAATTATACTTCTCTGACCACCATAGAGTTTCTTAAGATTAAAAAAAAATGTCAAACTAAAATAGATGATAGAAAGTTTAGATAAGCTGCTCAATTAGTTGAGAGCTTCATTAGAAAACCAACCAATAAAACTCAAGAACTAGTTTCGTAGTGTTATTTAGTTTCAAAAAGAGAATTTTAGTATTATCATTTAATTACATTTTATTAAATAAATAGTTATTTTACTTTGTAAGAAACTCACATGGGTTTTTAGGCTATGATCATGCTCTTATATAAATACTCAACCTACCAACTAGTTCCACGCTTATAATTTCATATTACATTATCAGTTTGATTCAAAAAAAAATCTACTAAAAGAAACTCCCTATGATGAACTTGCCAATGGGTACTAGAAAAACTACGATGCCATGTGTTATGGAGGAGGCACCGTATATCTTCCCCAACGGATCACCTACCCTCGTCGAGTTGTTGAAAGACTGCGACAGTTTCCGTAAGGAAGATCACATCTCCGTCACCAGAAGCGATGACACGTCTCATCACATCATAGATATCGAAGCATTACACGTACGAGAACCTGTCCCGTTCGTCTTATCCTTTAATAACCTCGAATACAGTGTCACTCTTCGCCAACGGTTTGGTTTCTCAAGCTCCACTTCGGTGAAGACCCTACTCGATGACGTTTCCGGTGAGGCATGCGACGGCGATATCCTCGCCGTTCTCGGTGCAAGTGGAGCTGGAAAGTCCACGTTGATCGATGCGTTAGCGGGACGTGTTGCCAAGGAGAGTCTAAGAGGGTCCGTGACACTAAACGGAGAGAAGGTTTTGCAAACTAGTGTGTTGAAAGTGATATCAGCTTACGTCATGCAAGACGATCTCTTGTTTCCCATGCTGACCGTTAAAGAAACACTTATGTTCGCTTCTGAGTTTCGTCTCCCGAGAAGCTTGTCCAAGTCCAAGAAAATGGAACGTGTTGAAGCCCTAATAGACCAGTTAGGGCTAAGGAACGCGGCTAATACAAGAATAGGAGATGAAGGACACCGTGGAGTCTCCGGTGGAGAGCGGCGGCGTGTATCAATAGGTATGACGTTATTTTTTTAATAAATTTAAAATGAGCAATTCTCTCAAATAAAATAAATTTTTGTCACAAAAATAACTATCTAAAAATAAAATAACCAAACTAGCATTTTTTTTTTTTGAAATTTTTTATATTTTATATTTTATTTTTTAAATTTTGAAACTCTATACCCAAAATCCATCCTTTAACTATAAATTTTAAATATAGATTAATTAACGGTAGGATGTAAATGCATATTTACTTTTCAACAAAATTTATTTTAAACATTTTTTTTTCTTAAATGCTATTTTTATGAAAATAAACTATAATGACTATCCAAGGCAGCTTCTCATTTAAAATTATTCATCTCAAAACCCTTTTTTATAATAGATAATTAGATATAGATATATATTTTTTTTTGAATGAATATATTATTCATCTCGACACCTTTTCTTATAATAGATACTGACGTTATTTATATGGAATGAATGTAAAACTTCTTCATCTCAATTTTTTTATACAATAGGTATCGACATTATCCACGACCCTATCGTGTTGTTCCTCGACGAGCCTACGTCGGGGCTGGATTCCACCAACGCATATATGGTGGTGCAAGTTCTTAAACGTATAGCTCAGAGTGGCAGTATCGTAATTATGTCGATACATCAACCTAGTGCAAGAATACTTGATTTGCTTGACCGTCTTATCATCTTATCTCGAGGCAAGACTGTGTTCAATGGATCTCCGGCGTGTCTCCCTTCTTTCTTCTCCGACTTTGGACATCCCATCCCGGAGAGGGAGAACATCACCGAGTTCGCACTTGACCTAGTTCGAGAGCTTGAAAGACAAGCCCCCGAAGGAACTAGAGAGCTAGTAGAGTTCAGCGAAAAATGGCAGAAAAAGAACTTCGCTCGAGACACAACACAAACTGCATCTGAACAAGCCTTGTCCTTAAAAGAAGCCATCGATGCAAGTGTGTCTAGAGGCAAACTAGTCTCCGGCTCATCAGGATCCAACCTCTTGTCCATGGAGACAGTATCTTCATACGCAAACCCGTCGCTCTTTGAAACATTCATCTTGGCCAAACGTTACATGAAAAACTGGATTCGGATGCCGGAGCTTGTCGGAACACGGATAGCAACCGTCATGGTGACTGGTTTTCTCTTAGCCACTGTGTACTGGAAGCTAGACAACACTCCAAGAGGTGCACAAGAGAGATTAACCTTCTTCGCATTCGTTGTGCCCACAATGTTTTATTGCTGTTTAGACAACGTCCCTGTTTTTATCCAAGAACGTTACATCTTCTTAAGAGAGACAACACACAACGCATACAGAACATCTTCATATGTCATATCTCATTCGCTGGTGGCCATGCCTCAGTTAATTGCACCGTCTATAGTATTTGGATCAATCACATTCTGGACCGTTGGTTTGAACGGTGGGTTACAAGGTTATTTCTTCTATGTCCTCATAATCTATGCTTCGTTTTGGTCTGGTTCCTCTGTTGTTACTTTCATATCTGGTGTTCTTCCGAACATCATGTTGAGTTACATGGTCGCAATATCCTACCTAGCGTATTGTTTACTCTTGAGTGGATTCTACGTGAACCGAGATCGTATACCCATCTACTGGATGTGGTTTCACTACATTTCACTGCTCAAGTTTCCTTACGAGGCTGTCTTAATCAACGAGTTTGATGACCCGTCTCGTTGCTTTGTTAAGGGAGTTCAAGTGTTCGATGGTACTCTTATCGGAGGAGTGTCTGATACGGGAAAGGTTAAGCTCCTACAAACTCTGGGAATGTCTCTAAGGAAGAGGATAACGGAGTCAACATGTTTAAGGACTGGGTCTGACTTACTTGTACAGCAAGGTATTACTCAATTGAGTAAGTGGGACTGCTTGTGGATTACGTTTGCTTGTGGCCTCTTTTTCAGGATCTTGTTTTACTTTGCTTTACTGTTTGGGAGCAAAAATAAGAGGACGTGAGGTAGTCGGGCCCCACGAATAAGTATGTGCGTTAGGTACATATTTATGTGAAGCTTTTTGAACTTAATTCGAAGTAGCTTCTCGAACGGTGGTTGTATACTAATAGTAGTAACATTTATGATCGTTTTATCTCTTTGTATTTTTTTCTGTAATATTGAAAAAAAAAGAAAGCATTTATATAGTTTTCCAAGTCATTTATGTAAGTAGCTTACAAACTGAAAAGACAGAAAAACCAAACCCTCCCAGGCCCGCCTCCCTAGGCGCCGTCACTGTATGGCCCCTCTCCGATCCAGCTCCGACGTCCCGTCCACTACTCTGTGAAGAAGTTCGTCCTCTTCTTCCGGTCTCAATGGTGAAAGATCCGCCTCAGCCGCGTTCAAGACCTCCGCCGAATCCACCACCGTGTAAGATGTCTGCACCACTCGAGTCTGTCACTCAAAGCGAGCCGCCTGAGCCCCCAGACCCTCCAGATGCAATCGTCATCCTCTCTTGTCTCCCCTTCGTCGATGAACCCCTATACACCTCTCCTCATATGTTCACCAAAGTTGTAGATCTGGAGTCCACCGTCTCAGATATGGAGGCTGAAACTACTGGTGGTGTCTTCCTTGGTGTGTCCAAGAGGCAAGTTCTCTTCTGCGCCATACGTTCACCGGACTCCGGCGTCTTCAACCCATCTCTTCCGTCCTATGATGTAGCTGTCTCAAGCTCTCCAAGCTTTCGAATTGTGAAAACCGGTTCTGAACCTTGCTCTGTTTTTAAAAATCAACTTCTCAGAGTCTTCACCGGTTGGTTCCCTCCATTGTATCTCTCCCTTCTTCTGTACATCGGAAGATCCAAGCCTAGTACTTCATTTTCTCCAATCTTTTGGGTTCGTATGGAAACCAACCATTACGGACTTAGGCTTGTGTTCAGAAGAAGTGTATGGCTCCAGCCTTACCATGTTTGTGGCAATTATCTCAGCCTGACCACTACACAACACAACAACTTCACTGAGCTCAGTTTCACAAGTTCTGTACTTCAAGGTACTTGGTCTTTCATGGTTAGCATGATAAAGAATGATGAAAAGCGGCTAGGTTTAGTTTCCACAGATCTTTGGACCCAACACGGTAATGTTGGAGGATGGAGTCCCTGTTTGAACTCAACCACCGCCTACCCATCACATATCATCAAGCTTATTTCTCAAGGATGTGAAGTCAAGGTCAGCCATTTTTCAACCAAGCCAAGAACTGTGACAAAGAATCTGGTTTTTATGGAATCAACATCCTATGCTCATTCCAACGAGTGTTCTAGAACCAAAACTCAAGGCAAATTTCTCTCTCACCAAGACACCTTAGTGGATTTTCCATCCCCGCTCTCAAACCAAGACAGCATACATCGGTCATCATCGTCTAGCCTTAATCTCGCGTATGCAACTGTCTCACTGTCTTTCTTGCTGAACAATATGATCTCCGGCCCAGTTGAGATTCACCTAGTCTCCCAGATTATCATCATCAATATTAAAGCTGTTCTTGCTTTTTTAATGGACTGCATAGCCAAATTTAGCTTTTCAAGGAGCATAGCCAAAGCCTGGATCTTCACGGGACAGTCCGGAACAAGCAAAACTCGAGGATCAACCACGCATGACACTGTAAGCTCCCCGTTGGTAGCAGAGGCTCTAGCGTTACGATCCACCAATCTAACAGCAGTGAACTGTTTCGCTAACCTTCTTCTTACATGGCTGGATGTGGCTTGGAAAAAAGCAACGAACAAGGCGGAACTAGCCTTGATCCTCTATGATAACTCAGGAGCAATACTTAAACAAGGATCAACGATAGAGAGCTTCGTCACTTCCCCAGTCGTAGCCGAAGCGTTGGCCATCAGATTGGGACTCATCGCAGCAGTGAATCTTGATCAATTGTCGATTAAGATGATCTCTGGCAACTCAACGCTCATCAGAGCAATCAACAACGACTCGCAGGTCAAGGAGATATTTGGAATCGTAAAAGATTTTCAACAAACCTCCTCTGTTTCCGTCGATATCTGTTTCTCTCATCTCTCCCGACTTCAACTTTCACAAGTCGATGTTTTAGTTAAAAATATCCTTAAGGGATCATGTGTAATCACCCCTGCTATGGGCTAGACATTGGGCCTGAGGCCTTTTCTTTTTAATTTTAAGTATTCAGTTGACAAAAAAAAAAAAAAGCTTACAAACTGAAAATATATTTTTATTATCTGAAATACTTTTGACCTGATTTCTTAATTATTTGAGACATGCCATTCAAACTTCTATGTTAGATATTAACATAAGAAATATTATACAAGTATCTCAACTTGCACTACAAGAAAACGCGGGCATAACGACCACAGATATAGAGGTAATTTGGTCGTAAATAGACTTTTACGACCACATAACAACGAAATGCATTTAGTCGTAACTAGCCCGTCGTAATTAACTTTTGGTCGTAATGTGATCTTAAATATTACGACTAAAGAAATTGGTCGTAACACAAACGTAAATAAGGTAGTCGTACTCTAGATGTGGATTTGACGTAAAGTTACGTCCAATCAGTTAGACGTTAATTGGTCGTAAAAGTTGGTCGTAAAGTAGAAGTCAATCTCGACGTAAAATAGTATTTAAATCGAAGTAACTTGTACGACCACATAACCTCGACTCTTGAAAAATAGACACAACTTGGTCGTAAAAAGTACGACCAGATAACTTCGGTTTAATTTATTTAATACGACCAAATAACCTCTAGAAATATAATAAAATTTCACTTTTAAAATTCACAAATTTAAAATTTTTAATTTACGAAATTTAATATTTAATTAAAAATCCTTCATTTCGAAAAGAAATTTAACTTAATATATCCAAAACATAATAAAAATATATATTCAAATTACATAAGAAAACTAATTAATTATTAANAACCTCTAGAAATATAATAAAATTTCACTTTTAAAATTCACAAATTTAAAATTTTTAATTTACGAAATTTAATATTTAATTAAAAATCCTTCATTTCGAAAAGAAATTTAACTTAATATATCCAAAACATAATAAAAATATATATTCAAATTACATAAGAAAACTAATTAATTATTAAGATTAATGTCTGCGAAAAACTATGTTCATCGACTCCTCGCTCTGCATTTGCTCGTTCTTCAGGAGTTAGGTTGGGATAGATCGTTGAACGTCGAGGTCTCCACAATTCCGCAAGGGCTGGGTTTGTTTCCGCCATAACATCAAACATCTCCGCCATGGTCCTAATGTGGTTCCTGTTGGCCTCGTTGTCCGTCTGGGGTCGAAATGACTTGGTTGGCGGTTGTCAAATCGGTTCGGAGCTGCTGAGATTCTTCTTGTTGTCTTGTATCGTATTCAGCTCTAGCCCTCGGGACATCGTTCACCGTACCGATCCCGATCATCCGTCCCCTCTTCTTCGGGATAACCTTCATTTAAAATAATTGAAATTAATTAAATTAATTAGTATATACATAATTAATAATAAAATCGAATAATAATTAATTACCTTCTCAAATTTTTTGTCTTGTTCAACGATGGATAACTGAACGGGTTCCCCTTGTTCCACCGTCAACTGGGTCTGGACCTCCTGAGTATGCTCCTCAACATCGTTGTAGATCTTTTCTGCTCGAGGATCTACAAACGTCCCGTCAGAACGCTGATGGGTCAACTTGTAAAGTCGGGCAAGAGACGGTGGTGCTCCTTCCACCGCAGCCTACAGAACAACATAATTAAATATATTAAACTAATTAATTAATATATCAATAAAACAATTTAATTATTAAAAAGGTAAAAACAAATTAGAAATTAAAAAAAAAACATTTACAAAAGCTAGTACTTACAATTTGTAGAGCTTTTCCTGCGTGAGAAGTCTGTCCAGAAGTGTGGGGCACAACGACCAAATTACCCTCAGCATCACGCGCCATCCGGTTGTTGGAGCAACGGGCCGAATCCTTAACTGACTTCGGCAGACTCCAATAAGCCGTCAAGCCATTCCAAACGTGATCGCTGATGTAGATCGGTTTACATTTTCTGACATCGGGATCAAACCTCCACTTATCCTTCCAATCGCCCACAATATTCTTAAGGCGTTCTTGCGCCTTCTCGTAAAACCCTTCCTTCACTGTCTGGTTGACCGCAATAGACCAGTTCCATTTTTGCTGCGAAAAATAATTAAAATGAGAAATAATTAAATAATTAAATGAAATTAAAAAGGGAAATAAATTTATTTAATTAAGAAAGAAAATAACTTACCGCAAAACATTTGAACCAAGTCCTCCGAACGTGGTCTGGTGTAAGGGACCAGTTCGGATGAGGCTCCCGGAAGTTCGACCTTATGATGTTTTCGATGCTCCGTCCCAAGCGATTATCTGTTGGAAACCTACAAAAAAATGAAAATTCATGAATGTTAGATGAAAATATATATATAATTAAAATTTCATATATATGGAAAAATCATAATTAAAATTACCAGAGAGTGTTTGGTGGTCTATCTGGATCGATGATGGGTAAACCTTCTCGTCCCGGAATTTGGAGAAGATCTTCCACCGTGTATCTAGCGTAGGGAGCATCCGGTGGCACAAGTAAATCCGGATGGACACCCGGAGGAGGAGGCGGAGCAGCTTCATGGACTGGAGGAGGGACATGATGCTGCTGCTGATGATGATGATCATGATGCTTCTGCTGATGATGATCATGATGTTTCTGCTGCTGATGATCATGATGCTGCTGCTGATGATGATCATGATACTGCTGATGATCATCCTGCTGCGGATAGTATGGAGGCACGTCAAACTGAAGAGGCTGCTGCTGTGGTGGCACAAACCGAGGAGGAGGCACATAAGATGGTTGAGTGCCTTGGGCCGCGGTCTCAGGGACGACAAACTCCCGGGCTGTGTCAGAGCTGCTAGCTGATGGATCTGACGACGACGAACCGAGAAATGTTTCGCCGTAAGAAGCAGTTTGGCTTCTCACTGCGTGGTTTCTTAATCTCTTTCTCCTGGCCATATCTACATATTCAAATAAAAATAATTTTAAAAGTAATTAAATACTAATTATTTAATATAAATAATCCAATCCCGTGCTAAATCAATTCCAAACCTAATCTAATTACCACCTAAACTAACCACCTAAACTAACCACCTAAACTAAAACCGAAAAAACATACCTGAAGAGAGGGAAAGTGGTGGCTAG